GCAAAGAGTTGTTTTCTGCAACTTATTGCACTTAACTCTTTTTAATGTCAAGCAATTCTCTGCTATATGCGTCGACCTAAAACTTTGACCTTTTGCAACGTTTTGACTAGAGATGCACCGATTGCAATTTTCTTGGCAGACTCCGATTTCCGATTTTTTTTGTTAGTGTGATCTGCCGATACCGATTTTTACTATATTTGAGTAAAAACTGATAAGCAATATATATATTTAACTATAATTGACAGCATATACAAACAAAAATCTACTTTTCTTCAATGCAGGAACAAAAAAAAAAAAAAAAAAAAAAGTAAAAAGTACTGATTAAAGACCCCATTGTCCATAGCTGACCATTAAATTAAGATTATATAATCAAAAAGATTCACATTTGTCACACCAATTGGCAGGGGAGGCTGAACATGAACAAATGAGTACTGTTGCAAGTTGCAAGATAGCTTAAGCCATACTCAGTGAGGGAGGATGTGAGCTATGGCACCGATGATTTGATATCAAACAAAGCAGCCATCAGTCTTTTTCACTTGCTTGCTTTCTGCTTTATCTTATTTACTTTTGCTGCTCCTCCTCCATTTTCTGTGCCACCTTCCAGTACTCAAATAAAAACTGGTGTAAGCGTGGTAGCAGAACTTGTTGGGCCATCCTTTTCATTGATAATTATTATAATGAAGTATAAAAAAAAATGGGTTATGGGATATGTACTGTGGCCTGGCAGTAGAGGGTGGTGAAAAGAGGCAAGAGTTATAGCGTGGGAGGCTTGAGCCCATACTTCTTGGCCACCTCCGTCTGGGCATAAGCAGCATCACAGAGGGAGTAGAGATGGGCCATCTCCATCTCTGACTTGGCCAAGTTGATGGCCTTGTTGAACATGTCTATAGCCTTGTCCAGATTACCCCTGTGGAAAAAAATTGATATTGTTTTTATTTTTTTTAAGTTTTGTCCGAAACTAAAACCAAAAGGCTGTAATAGCCAAACAAACGTTTCAATATAATCAAGGACTTACAAATTAGGAATAGAAAAAAGTACAGAAAAAAGGGGAAGCAATGTAACGTCACAAACCTTTGGACTTCAATGGTTCCCATAGTTTCATAAGCAAAGTCACATTTATTGTCAATTTCGATGGCTTTGCTAATCAGTTCAAGACCCATTTCCAGATCCTGTTTCCACTGAAGCTGCAACAGACTGCAAAACAAACACAACTGATTAGTATTTACTTTGTTGAACATGAATAGATTAACAGGATCCTATAAGTACAAAATAGATCAAACTAACCCTTTGTGGACATATGTTGTGGCGTTATCAGGCTCTAGTTCAATACATTTGTCATACATTTCATCTGCATTACCAAACTGTTGCTGGTCTGTTAGTGCCTATCAAATAAAAAGAAAAAACAAAAACAAAAAAAACAAAGACAATACATTATAGTTAAGTAAAGAATGATAAAGCACAATTTTATAAATTGTTTTATGCAATCAAGGTGAGCAATACCTGTGCATACAGAGCATAGCCCTCAGCACACTTTGGAAACCTCCTAATGACGTCCTCAAAACCATCCATGGCTTTCTGAACCTGGGATGGGTTGTTTCCAGTGTAGGCCTGTCGGTACTATGAGAAAAAAAGTCTATAAAGTTCATACCACTTTTACAATTAGTAAAATTCAGAATTGCTCATATCAGGTTGTTTTGGTTGAAAGTCAATAGCATTAGACCACATCCATTTTAAGCAAAAGTATCATCTCATTCTAACATCTTCATGAAGAGTACCAGCATAAAGATATTTATGCGCAAGCAGTACCCTCCTGTGGTACTTACCAATGCAAAACACTTCTGGGCCTGGGCAAGCGCAGAGTCTGGTCGAAGTTTTATACACTCATCAAAATCTCCCACAGCCTCCTCTACCTGATCCAGCAGAATCTTCAACTGAGAAATTAAAATATTACCAATAGGTTTATCAAGATATTTTAACAAGTTCGATGTTGCTAATTAACAGTAGTAGTAGCAATGTTGCAAAGCAAACTGTATAATGAAAATGAGCGTCAAAAATTCCATGTAGTTGCTATGGTGTACAAACATCTTAAGGTAAATTGGTGAATGCCATCTCAAGAATGTTAAAGACAGAAACATTCCAAATTGTCCAGAAGTCATTAGCTGACTCAAAATGGGTATTTTCACAGGGAATTTCCCATCTACTGTTTTTTTTTAACTCTTCTGTAAGATGCCCGTCAAACTGACTGATTAATGCCACGGTCACACTAGACTTTGAGCATGCAACAGTCGTGATATGACATCACACTCTGCGGTGTCAAATAATAAAAAATGCAATGTGTTAAATTATACATTCACACCACTAACATACACAACTGTAATTATGACCAGACTCATGCAGTCATTTTTAGCCTGTGTGATTTTCTCTTCTGGGCTTTCCAGAGAAAGCATATCTATGTTTAGGCACAGCTTCAGTGAGAAACATTTATACTCAGAAAACTCTTTTGTCTCAGCAAGTTAATTATTATTACATTTAATAGAATACAAATAAAACAATTTGTCACACAGTTAGCATGGATTAGATCCATGTAGGACTTTGGGTAGTCAGTTCTTCATAGCAAGCAGCTCACAACAGTCTCCTCTACCCAGAATTTTAAGCAGGCCAGAAAATATATTTGAGGTGACAAGGTCATTAACTCAGGAGGGTCATGAACCCAGCAGGGATCTGAGTTGCTATTGCAGTAACAACGGCACCTGATTCTTCAAAAACTGTAAATGAAGATTACAGCTAAAATATTAACATTCTACATAAGGGCTTGCTTTTAAGCATTTCTTTAGATGAAAATTCCAACATGTATGTGAAATCATCATACCTGTCCCCTGTGGTGGTAGACGTCTGCATTACGGGGGTCGATCTCTGCAGCCACGTTGAAGTCTTGCGTGGAGAGCTGGGGCTGCTGCTGCTGCATGTACATGCTTCCACGTTTAATGAGCGCATTAGCACGTAACTGAAACATATCAGAAAGATGTTTTAACACTAGGGATGTTCATTTCGGTTATTTTTCCTAACCGACAACCGACACTCGTTAACCGATTATTAACCATTAACCGACAAGATTATTTTAAATTAGAATTGAATTAAATTAGAAAGGATAAGTGTCTGTGAACCGATAAAAATACTAACATTTGTTTCCCGGGGATTAATTTTACATGCGCAAAAAGCAGCAAACAACAGAACATGAGGATTCACATGGTCATCATATCACATCACGCACCTGCAGCGCTTCTGCAAGCGGAGAAAAACATAAAGCTAGGCTATATATATATATATTAATAATAATATTAATATATTCATATAATAATAATAAATAGGCCTATACGAGAAATAATTTATTATTTAAGTAAAAATATAAGAAAATGAAAGAAAAACTGTGCAACAAGTAGCCTAGTATGCAGAGTTTCGGTTCATTTTTGTGCTGCGCGAAAGGAAACAGACGGCAGA